GTACACTGAGCGGATGAATTCTGCTGTGTGTTCCTAATTTTCTATTTGGGCATTTGATTTTTATTTCCCATCTGTAGTATTTCATATGTGTGTTTGGCCTGGCTTTTGGAACATTTTTCCAGTTTATAAAGATTATTTTGAACTTTCATCCTGTAAGTGTTTGCAGACTCTTCTGCCTGTTACCATCTAGAAGTTTGGCAGTTTACTCTGTTTCATTGTCCAAGTCACAACTGAATACATAGGAATGACCTGTATCCAGGACAAGTTATGATTTGACAGCGGACTATTAATTAATAATCTGAGTAAAATTTATACTGCTGTCATCTGGGCTATGTTCCTCTGTTATGATAGTGGCATATAGGGCAATGTCAAAAGGCATATTAGAGTTAAGATGTGTTACATCCACTATCTTGCTTACACTTACAAGGCCAGTTAACTCATCAAAGAAGAAAACTGCACTGTGCTGATGGATTCATGATGATATTCTCTATTACTCACTTAATGTTTGTTTAGTAATTTGTTTTGTTGTCTGTCTGGGTGCTTGTAATTTCTGAGATTCACCTTTTTACCACCTTAAAACCAGAGATTTGATGTTGCCTCCAAGGTCTCTGTCTTGAATGAATTGCTGGAAATAATCATTAGCAGTTACGAGGTTTGCCCAGGCTAGTTCCTTTTGAGGCACTCTAAGGTAAATTTCAGCAGGGTCTGCTGACTTTAATATATTAAACTTACCAAATGTCTTGTAGTTAGTTTTTTGCGTTTTCTGGATCATATTCCTATGACGCATTTGTCATCTTGTTTCTGAGAAATCTCAGTGTTTATTTAAAAGGCCAGGAGGTCCCTAGCATACAGGTTCACCGGAGGAAAGCCTTCCAAGTACCGAGTGAGCAATGTCTGACTTAGTTGTAGGCAACTTGAAACAGGGTCTTTGGAGGATATATGATCTCTTCTGTTTGACTTTCATTTTGAAATAAAAGTAAGTCTTTAGCTGTCATAATTGAAAGAAAAACTTAAAACTTTAAATACAGTTAATGCAAAAATTATAAGTCTATGAAGAAACTGGAAATAAAAAGTGAACTACCCTATTTGTGTTGACCAAGGGGATTGCTGAGAAGTGGTGTACAAAAGCCAAGGGCCAGGGGAGAAGGGCCCAGAGAAAGCCCTCCTGAGCACGGTTAGACCAGTTTGTTTTACAGAGCCTCTTTTTGCATTCAGCGGAGTGCATAGAAGAAAAATTTAGGTGGAAAATGACTCTTGGCAAAATGAAAATTTTATTAGAAATGTCTGTTTTCTATTAAGTAGCTGAGGGTTTTGTTGCTGTTCTTTTGAGAGGAGGAAGAGGTTTTGTGCAGTTTGTCAGTGGAAACACTTTCTTTCAAATTTAGATTTTAATTTTTTTAGCTAAAATGAATTTGCAATCTGTCTTCCCTCATATTTTTCATTAAAAACTTGAGCAATAAGTAGTAGTTTGACTGGCTGACTTCTCTACACTCGCAAGTTCAGATTCCGCCTTCTCGTGCTTAGTCTTCTGCTTGCAGGTCTTGCTAAGGTATAGCTTCACCCGCTTTGAGGTAGGCTTTAGCAGGACAATGCCATGGCCATCGGGGTGCAGTCAGTATCGGGGCTGTACGCCCTGGCATCTGGAAGCTCTGCTTTTGGCCACGGTGAGGTACAGAGCGGTGCTTTCTCTGGTGGAGGAAATTAAGCAAAGGAAACTGATGTCAAATGAGAGTTTGACAGGTTAGGCCTTACCCTGTTGTTAGGACTCAGACTGACCCAGACTTTGCAACCTATTCAGTGCAGACATTGCAATCATAGATTGGCTTTCGTGGGCTCAGGGTTTTACGATTCTCTGTATTTCCGGAGTTACCTTGTAGAATTTTTTCCGTAATTAGCAAGGTATCAGTCGATAGTAGTGATTTGGCCTCTGGCCAGCAGGGTCTCAGTATTCGTAGCTTCATGTTTTAAAGTGAACCAAACATAAAAGCAGACTGTGTTTCTTAAGTTACTGTGCGCTCGCTGATGAGCAGGTGTTTCTGCCTTCGTTCCTGTCCAGTTTCAAAATGAAGAGTTCAATGATAATGAGCTTTTTCAAAACAGAAAATGGGAGGGCCCTTTCTCCTTTATTTTACAGACCTGAGTAGCACTCTGAAATGCGTTCCTCCATGGTGGTACAGTAGATGATGCCTAAAGGAGTTTAAGTAATGTTTACGCATTAATGAGATATTGCCCTCAGGAGCCTTTAACAAGATGGGGTTTTTTAGAGGACCTTTCTGCCCACTTCCTACTGATCCCTTCCCTAACATCTGCCTGTCAGTGGCTGAACTACGGTGATACTGGAAGTAGGAAAGGGAAACTGATTTCCAAGTGTGTAAGTGTCTTACAGATCTCATGGCAGCCCACCAGTCTTCACTCCTATTGCTAACTTACATGAAATATGAGATATCTTGTTGTTCTGCTGTTGTTCTTTTGCCTGTGGTTTTTTATTTTATCTTATTTTTGCAAGTTTGGACCCAGAGTCTTAGCCAGGCTATTAACAACAATCTGACTTTTAGGTGTAAGGATTAAACACTGATCTACCAAGTTGGAAGTGTTTTTTGATTTATCAAAAATAATTGCGTTTTCTCGCAAATTATTTTTTCTTTCCTATCTAAAACTTACAATTGTAAAGAGAAACAGGAGATAAAACAGTAGGTGTATTCTAGGGTTGTGTATTACTGTACTGATTATCCCAAATTCTCATTTCATTTCCCTTAAGGTCTCTACTGCTCAACTGTGAGATTGGGAGGGTTAAAAAAATGTAGGGAGGGGACACTCCCACCTGATAAACTCTTGTGAATCTGTAATTTCTAAATTAATAGGAACAACAGAAACAACAAATGTCTACCCGGGAACTTTATCCAGGCTAACTCATAGAATCATAGAATAGTTTGGGTTGGAAGGGACCTCTAAAGGTCATCTAGTCCAACCCCCCTGCCCTGGGCAGGGACATCTTCAACTAGATCAGGTTGCTCAGAGCCCCGTCCAGCCTGACCTGGAATGTT